ACAAAAGTCCCTGATGTTCCTACACGTGTTCCGCCTGCACGATGCGTCTGGCCAGAACTTGCATTTGGACAGCATGAGGCTTACGCTCTTGAAGCAAAGGTTGCATATGATCTGTCTCGGTTCGGGCGGCCCTGCAACATCCTTCTTCAAGTAGGCTGACGTACTGGCGCCGCTGGGCTCCTCGAGCCCGCCCAACTCCTGAGCTGCGACGGCAAGCCTCTCCTTGGGCCGCTCGACTCTCTCGACAATGTCGGCGCCTGCTCCCAGAATCGACACCCAGGGTGTCAGACCCACTGGCGCCGACCTAGCCCTTTTGAACCACGAGCTGCGCTTCGAGAGAGGCGATCCGAGCCGACACCTTTTCGGAGGTCCTGCCCACTGGAGCCCCCACCACCTGAGGCTCAGGGGGTCATCGGGCTTTCGCAGTGGAGACCGATGGGTCCTGTCGCTGATCCCGATCGCGCAGAAACCAGGCCCCCTGGTGCGAACGCGCGCATTGGACACCCAATTCCAGAGAGGCTTCTCGAAATGATTGGCACAAGACTTGCACAACCAATCCTGCTGAAACCGTTGCTGTGCCATCTAGAACCTGAGCCCCGCCAGACCAGATAGCCCCGTCAAGAAGAATCTCACCTATAAGTGTGACTGAACGTGTTCAGCCCCGAAAATGAATGCGTCGGGCGCCCCCTCGATGTTTGTCGCACGGAGGCGGAAACCTCGGTTCGAAATTCCGCGACGTGGATTTCAAGCATTGGGCCAAAATGGCTGAGGATCCTCCTCCTTCTGCTCCTCCTCCTCCTCCTCCTCCCCATCATTTCTCCTCCTGCCCTCCCCTATTTCGGCAAGCAGCCTCATTCCCCAAATCCTGAGTGAGGATCTTGTTACTGTTCCCCGTATCCTGAGCGGAGCTCTCGTCTTATTTGTATCCCTGGAAGGGGGAAAAACACCTGGAAGGACAACGACTACGACGTCGGAGGTCTGGAGGGCGCCTTCTGCATGCTCTCGGACCCCAACAATCGATCCCCAGACCTGTCGTGGGGCGCGCTGGGGCCGGAACCCCGAGGCGGGTCCACCTGCGGCCAAAAGGACGCTCCAGGATGTCAACACACTGCCCCAGACGCCGAAAAGCCTGGAGCCTCGAGCCCTGCCCAGAGATCGGGTGTCTCGATCTTCTGTTCCAGTATCCCGACCCTTTCCCCAGGCCCGAGCTCCCATCCCGAGCACTGGTGCCCGACGAGGGCCCTCGGAGGACGAAAAGTCACAAAAACCTCCCAATATCCAGACTTTTTCCCCAGGTCCGAGCTTCCATCCCGAGCACTTTTATGTAGGCCCCGGTGCTCTGTTCTTGAGCAGGGGCCGACCGTCCTGGCATTCCTATAGGCCTACCACGAGATGTTCTTAGAACCCATATCAGCCAGCGTGGACTCCAAATAGATTCGACGACTCAATTCAAGCAGTCGGAGGAATCAAGCATGCTTGAAATCCGCAAATCAGCTAGCAAGCAAGCAAGCGTGCAAGCAAGAGCGCAAGCAACAAGCAAGCAAGCAAGCAAGCAAGCAAGCAAGCAAGCAAGCAAGCAAGCAGGCATAGGCATAGGCGTAGGCATTGGAGTTAGGAGGGAGGCATAGGCATAGGCATAGGCATAACCATAGGAATTAGGGGGCGGGCATAGGAATTAGGGGGGGCAACGGACCAATTAGTAGCGTTTCAGTTAGGACTCCTATAGGGCAAGCCTACTTGGAGAACAAAAGTTGTAAGAACAATGTTCTTAGAACGTAAGCACGATGCCTTTAAACAAGACAGCCCCAGCCGACCACAAAAGGTCCTTAGAACATTCTTTGGTGGGCCGATAGCTAGGTCGGGCATGTCAGCCTACAGGGGGATTTTGAACGAAAGATTAAACACACATACCCGAACAATACTCAAAACTAGTCAAAAGAAGTCTGAAAACATGTCCCCAGACTATCTGCTACCATTGTTGAATATTCCTCCTGTAGAGGAATAGGCCCGACTTACGACTATAGGCGAGCTATAGGGCGCTTCGCCACTGCTGGCTGTCCGCGGCCGGAGGAGGCCTGGGCCGCGGGGCTCCAGCGACGGCCCCCCTCGACCTCTGAGCGGAGACCTGGCCTCGGCGGCCAGGAGGGCCAACAAGGCAACGCCAACAGCGCGATACAAAAACAGAGTTTGGGACGCACATAGACATACTAGTGCTGTATGTCCTCCTTGCAGGCGCGCGTCCGACCCGAACGTATAGTATACCCACACTGTAGTAGATCGTTTCCCGAGCGGCGTGGCCAGAAAGCGCCCGCCACAACGCATACACTAGAAGATTTCTCGGTGCGCGCGTCGCCCCTGGGGGGCGACGCACATATAGTATTAGTATGTTGGGGTGGCGCCGATAGCTCCTCGATCCTCGACGACAGGAAGTCTGGGGCCATGATCCGTCGGCATCAGGTCACCAGAAGTCGGCTCGGATCTCACCGCGCGTGGGATCGGGCTTCATCAGCACGGAGCCGGAACCGAATCGGATCGGCCGCTCCAGGACGCACAACAGCGCCGCGCAGGCATCGGGCCGCTGGACCGAACCGTATCGGAGACCCAGATGTCCTCCCATGTGATTGCTTCAGTTCACGGCTCTAGATCTCCCGACCCCTTGCCCCGGGGTGGCTTCCCGTCCCAGATCCACTGTTGATGGCCCTGGGGCAGGAAGAGCATAAGAAGCAGATCGCGAAAACGCGCCAGAGACGTGGTAATAGGGGGTATGGGAGCCCCAGGTCCGACTTCGCTGGGTTTGCCAACGGACCAGAAACTTGAGGCCAAACTCGGGGATATACGGATGGGGGGGCGCCCATCCTCAATAGGGGTGCGTCCGAATAGCCCCCGCAGGGTGTATCCTCAAGCTTTCCCCCCCCAGTGTCTGAGCGGCCAGACTTTTTGGGCGAACCTCGGGGATTGGGGCCAGTACAGTGGAGGCCAGTCCACAAGCAACCTTCCACAAGAAACCCAACCCTGAGAACCCAGGACGTCCATCGACTGGGGGTGGGAGAGCGTCACGCCTTCCACCGCAAAACCACCGAAGCCCGAGAGACCCAGGGCACCCTGGAGGCAAGCAAGGTGGTTCTTTGCGTGGGGTTCCACCGTGCATCGCCCGCGGCCCGGGGCATCGGACACACCCGATCGCAGTGGACCCCCGAGGGGGCGTAGCTCTCGAGCCCCGCGGGCCGGGGCGGCCCCCCCGCCTGCGGAGCCACGTGCGCATCGTGCCAGGCAACACGGATGGCCCCGAAAGCTGGCAGCGGCCGCTGTCGGGCAGGCGATGCGCTGTCTCAGTGGGGGAAAAACGCATGCTCCTCTATCCCGTGGGCCTATGAGGACCCCAAGAGGCCAAACTTGTTGTTTGTCCTTAGATGTTTGCAGGATGTTGGTGTTCTCGCCATTTCGGCTTTCCGACGCTCCCAGAAAGCCCTAGAGGCCCCGAGGACCCCAAAACGGCCTAAGAGGGTCCCAAGACAACCCAAAAGGCGCCCAAAACAGCCCGAGAGGGCCCAAGACGGCACCGAAAGGGGCCCGAAAGAGGGAACACGAACCGAACATCTGAGCCTTCCGCCCCAAGAGGCGCCCAGGAGGCCCCGAGAGGCCCCCAAGAGGCCCCGAGAGGCCCCGAGAAGCCCCAAAGAGGCCCGAACGAGGCCCCAAGAGGCCCCCAAACGGCCCCCAAGAGGCGTCCGAACTGCCTCCAAGAGGCCCCCGAGAAACCTCCCATGAGATTCCAACGAACATCAAATGGGCTTTATACCCACAACCCAGGCACGGTGGCGGGATGGGTTGCGGCCCCAGGGGGACCCCGATATGTCCATGTCCACCGCCTGATGAGGTCCCTGGACGTCGATCCAAAAACAATCAACAGGCGAGCTTCCCTGATCAAGGATGCGCAGCAGCTGCGTCCGTCTTGGGGCAATATTGCAGCCATCTGAGGACCATGAGTGGAAGCCTTCGCGTCGCGTTCTTCGATCGCTCTCCGGGGTATCCAGGGCCCCTCTTGAGATCCCCTTAAGGGTCTGGTAGGCCTCTCTTGGGGGACTTGGGGGCCCTCTCAAGGCGCTCAGCGAATGGGCGCACATTCATGGGGGGCGATACATGTGGGGGGTAAGGGGGGGAAGGTGCTCTTTGGGGGCCCTCAAGGCTCGCCTTCTGGGCCCTTTTGGGCCCCTCCAGGGGTCATGAAGGGCACCTGTTCTGCAGCCCTCGCTGCCCCCAAATTCCATCGCCCCCTACAACTCGCGCCCAGAGCGGGGGAGCTACCAGCTTGAACCATATATCCCACCCCTGTGCTTGGCCTCACCTCGATGCCGATCTCAAGGCTTCCCTCCGTTTCTGAGGGCACACCCCTAAGAATATCCTCGCTTGTTGCCGCCCATCTTAGGGGGATAGGGATAAGTTCGAGTCTGGTTATCGGGGATCTTCTGACCCGGGTCAACCCAGACCCCGGTCAATCAGGACCTGCAGTATCCTGCAGGATGCTGCACCCAAACCCGGGTTAATGCGGAGAGCCCTGCAGGATCCTGCAGGATCCTGCAGGATCCTGCACCAAGCCCGGGTCAATGCGAAGAGCCCTGCAGGATCCTGCAGGATCCTGCACCCAAGCCCGGGCCAATGCGACCCTAGCCCTGAAGGATCCTGCAAGATCCGGCGCTCTGGCTGACCCCCGTTTGCACTGACCCCCGTCTCGATCGGGGGCGGCCAAGAGGGGGGCGCCCAAGAGGGGGAGGGGGGCGCAAATCATGGCTGGCGGCAGGTGCGCGGCCCGGGGGGGGGGGGCCAGGAACGCGAGGAAAGAAGAAGAGGCGCCATGAGGTCTGGGAAGTCCACCGTGGCCCCCGCCATGCGATCCACGCTCCCCATAGTCATCACGCCCCTCTTCGCACCGACCCCCGACTCGAGGCTCCCGAGGCCAGGGGCGGGCAGGGGCGGCCGGGGGGGGGGGGACGGCGCGCCGCCTCCGCGGAGGCGAGCTCCCGCCGCCCGTCCCAGCCCGCCGCCACGAGCAGGCGGCCGCCCAGCGCCGCGGCGGCGCAGCCGTCGCGGGCCGAGCTCATGGGCGGCAGCGGCCGCCAGGCGCCCTGGCCGAGGGCTCTCCGTCTTCGGCCGTCGCCGTCCCCGTCGGAGCCTCCCACCGCCAGCGCAGGTCACCCTCTGCGGACTCCGGGTTCCTCAAAATGCGCGTGGGGGGGTACCCGCCCCCCCTCCCCGACGGGGGTCAACCTCGCCTTGTCGTCGCGCCGCGACGGGGGTCGGGGCGCCTTCGGCGCGCGGTGGCTGCCCGCGACGGGGGTCGATGTGGGGCTGTCGGCGGAGGTGACGCCCCCCCGACGCCTATTCAGAAACTCGGAGTAGCTGCCGACGCAAAAACTGTTTTCGGCCATCACCAGTCATCAGCAACGAAAGGACCCCGAACCCTTTGAGAGGGGACCTCAGTGAGGAGGACCGACACAACAGGGACAGGGGGTCTTTTTTTCCTGCAGGATGCCTCGAGCCAAGCCGCCCGGAGTGATTATTTTCTAACGCAAAGACAGGGCCTAAGTGAGGCCACGTATTCACTGCGTTATCAGGGTTAGGTCGGGCCTGTCCTCCTACAGGCCGATATGGGGCCATGTTGTTGTTGTTGTTTAAGGCTCAAACAATACCCCAGCATAGCCAAACAAGTACTCAACAAATCGTCCCCAGACTATGCTTTGACTATTGTTGACTGTTCCCCCCGAGGAGGGACAGGCCCGACTTAAGGTAGGGTTTAGGGGGCTCTCGCAACTCTCGAGGAGCTCGGGCGCCCATGCCCCGTGCGCTGCCTGGCGTCGCGCAGGTGGTGCTCTGCTCCCAGAAAGGATCCAGGATGCTCCGAGATCCAGGGGAGCGCAGGCCTAGATTGGCGATCCATGGACTTGGCGTGCGGTCGCCAAATCCATGGAGCGGGGGGGGGAGAGGCCCTCCCCAGCATGCGGCCGGTGCCGCCTCGCTCGGCGGGGGAAATCCGCGAGTTCCCATGGAAACGGGACCCGTCGCGAATCCGCGCCCCCCTGATCCATGCCTGCGATCGCCTGAAAAATGGTCCAAGACTGCTGGCGCTGGCCCCGCCGAAGCAAAACAGATCTTGCGACGTGCCCATCCCGCAGGCATCGCCAAGGGACGATATGTGAGGTGTGGCGACAAGAGTGCGACAGCAGCACTGCAAGAGACGGTGCACGGCGGATGTCTACATCGTGCGAGGTGTGCGTGGCCGACTCGGATGAGGAGGAGGAGGAGGAGGAGGAGGAGGAGGAGGAGGAGAGGGAGGAGGAGAGGGAGGAGGAGAGGGAGGGAAGGGTTTGGAGCGCGTCCTCTCGTCGTCCTCCTCGTCGTCCTCCTCCGTCTCCTCCTCCTCGTCGTCCTCCTCCTCCGCCTTTTCCTCCGCCTCCTTCTCAGAGGAAGAGGAGGAGGAGGATGACGAGGAGGAGACGGGAGGAGGAGGGAAGAGGATGGAGGAGGAGCCAGGAGGAGGAGGAGGAGGGATCGATGGGGGGAGGGAGAGGAGGACGAGGTGTAGGTAAGGGGTGGGTGGGAGGGGCGTTCCCCAACGAACCCCTGTGACTGCGCTGGAAACTATCTCTCGGCGAAGTGCAATGCGCGCCGGAGGCGCCTCGTCGGGGTCCCAGAGCTCCGCCTCGCTCAGGGGGCCCTCCCCGTCGCCACCTCGGCTCCAGCGCTGCGGTGCACCAGCACGCCGTCGTGACCGCCGCCGCCGCGGTGGTCGCCGCCATCGCCGCCGAGATGTTTGAGCGAAGTGGTCGTCAACATCGTCGTCGTCGCCGTCGTCGTCGTCGTGATCGTCGTCGTCGTCGCCGTCGTCGTCGTCCTCGCCCTCGTCCTCGTCTTTGTCGTCGTCGTCGTCGACGTCGTCGTCGTCCTCGTCGTCGTCGTCGTCGTCCTCGTCGTCGAGACGTCCGTCTGGGGGGCGAAAGTTTACCCATACCGCTGCTCCCTGGACCTCTCCAAGGGTGCATTCGGACCAGGATTTCGAAGCGAACCCAGCCGTGGCGGCGAGGGCCCCCGAGGCCAAATCAGGCGAAACCGAGCAAGGGATGGCGGGATCGGTGGCTTGGAAGATCTGAGAAAGCAACTTCAGAGAGGTCAGCGTCACAACCTTGAGGCTATCAAGCCAGATTGATTGATGGACCTAGATTAAGCCCAGGATGCAGCCGGATTAAGCAAGATTCAGCAAGGCCGAACTGAACTGCACGGGGCTGTGCTGGCTTAGGCCGGCTGTCGACCACGGAGGTACCAGCGCCGATGCTGAGCAAACCTCCGAGGAGGTGTATCCTAGGCGACGTAGCTGCTCCTCCTCGGCACGTTTTCCTCCTCGGACACGCGGCGCCGCACCCGCCGCTGCGGCAGAGGCGCCACCGGGAAGGCCTCGGCGCCCTCCCCCTGGGGAAGCCAAAAGGTACCCATGCCGTCCTCGCCGTCGCTCGGACGGCCATTTCCCGTGCATTTTTCGGTTTCGTGTTTCTTTTTGTTCGTTGGTCGAAGATGGTCCTCGATGGTTCTCGCCGAGAAAAAATGCACACGTCCAAGCGATGCCAGGCGTCACTCCCTGAACCTCTCCCGGGGTGCGCTCTGACGTGCCAGCACTTCGAGGCGAGTCCCGCCGTGGCGACGAGGGCCTTCCAGGAGGCCCAAAAAATATGAAAGGAGGGATGAAGAGCCAAAACAAAGACCCAACCCTTTGGGAGGGGATCGAAGTTAGGAAAGCCAGAAACATGAGGGACAGAGGGTCTGGTCTGCAGCTGTACCTAACCAAACCGCACCTACTTATGTTCCCTCCTGCGGAAACGGGGACCTCACTGAGGCCGCGTTTTCATCGCGTTATTATTGAGCACGGACCGACCGTCCCGGCATTCCTATAGGATTACCACGACATGTTCTTCAAACCAGACATTATTCGAAAAACGAAAAACAATGTTCTCAGAACACAACCCGATGTGTTAAAACAAAACAGCCCCAGCCAGAAATGTTCTAACAGTTCGCGGACAACACAAACAGGTTTTTAGGGCATTATTTGGTAGGCATCTATAACTATACCAAGAGGTTTCGCCACTGCTTGATTATTCGGGTCGGGGGGGGGGCGCTCTCGAAGAAGGGAAAGGTGGCGGCGACGGTATTGTTGTCCGCCTCCGACCTCCGGATCCGCGCCGGCCGCGGCCGCGGGCTCGCCGCCCGCGGCGTCGTCCAGCGCGCACCGCGCGGCGCCGAGCAACGCCAACTCGCCCCGCGCGACCGCCGCCGCCGCCGCCGCCGCCGCCGCGCCCCCAGGGCCGGCGGAGGCCCCGGGGTGCCGCCACGGGTAGCCTTGGCGCCCGGGTGCCCCAGGCGAGCGTTTTCTGAGTCGGCGCTTCGATATTGAGCGACAAGGGGAGGGACCCAGACATGATCGCTTCGTGTCAAAATCTGGACGGGAAGTCTTTGGCTAATTTCGGCCTCGGGGGGCCCTGGCCAGGTTTCGGGACCCCCAAAAAACGACTCAGGATGAAAAGCCGGTCCCAGGGAAAGGGTCGGGACTTCCAGGTGCCCCCACATTTAAATAGTGATGACGTCGCATGTCTGGGGAGGGGGGAGGGGTCTGGCTCCAGACCTCTGGTGACTGCGACGGGTTGCACCAGCGCGTCCTGCGGGGGAGGGGCTCCGCAGGCTCGACGGAAGCAGGCGCAGGCGCCAAAAACGGCCAAGACCTGCGCAGGGGGGGGGGGGGCGAGGGCCCGCGCCGAGCGGCGTTGGTCCCTGGCGTTCGGCCTCTGGGGTCCGGCGTCGTCCTCTCTTCGGGCCTCCGGGTAGGCCCTCGTCGCCGCGGCTGTTTTCGCCCCGAGACCATCGAAGACGGAACCGGGGACAAAAAATGCCCCCCCGCGGGGCCTCTGAGGCCGCGCGGTGAGCAAAATCACATCCTCGGATGTCTGGAACCTGGACATCTGGCGCTTCGACTTTCTGTTCCCTGCAGGGCGGACTCGTTTCGTCCCGATTTGTTGTTTGCTGAAGTCCCCCACACCTGGCGGCAGACCGGCCGCCTGAAGAGTTCTTCAAGGCGCCAGATGTCTGTGAGGATGCCCCCGCCTGTCCAGGGGTCCCAAGCAGCGCCCAGCGCTCGGAGGCCAGAGTCTACGCATTACCCACCGAACCCCAAAAAACGAGACCCCAAGAAACTGTGGACGTGCAAATTCTCGGGCACCCGAGGTGTCCTCATCCTGCCCCGCGGAGTCCTGGGACATCGGTTTCCCAGGCGGCGGTGGAGGTGAATAGAGGCCCCAGGGGGCCCAACCTGGGGCCAAAGCTAAGGGCGCGCGGGCAGAAGGAAACGGGTCCTGGGCCCTGGGGGCAGACGGCTCCGGGGCCGAACGCTAGCCCCCAAAACCAAAATCCCACAAGCCACCTGGGCGCATTCCACAAACCCTTTTTTCACCCGGTAAGGAATTGCGCCCCGCTTCCGCGCACACACACCCCTCCGGGTCTGGACGGGGAGGGGGCCGGAGGGGCTATAGAGCGCCCATGATGGACGCTCCAAGATGACCTACAACGTGGCCCATGACAGCCGAGACAAGTTCACGGTAGCCTCCAACGCACCTCCGGGCGGCCCAAATATGGCCACCAGACAGCCCCAGCGGACCCCCCCGAAAAACCCTGAGACCCCAATCCAAAACCACCAGAAAACGATCGCCGCGCGCCTTCTCGCCTCGTCTCCTCGAGAGACCCCCGCGCTCGAGACGGCCCCAAGACGGCCCGAAATGCAGCCTGAGGAGGGCCCTAAGACGGTCCAAAAGGCCGCCGCGAACATTCAAATAACCACCCTTGCGCCCCGCGGCCTCAACAGGAAAACGGGAAGAGGGGCAGGAGGGGGGAGAACTCAACGCGGCCGGAGATCGCCCCGAGAAGGCCCCGCCCCTTCCCCCACCCCAACCCCGCCCACCCCCCCGAAAATCCCAAGGAAAGCCTCAGGAACCCTTCGAAATACGCCCAAGAGGGCCCCAAGGAGATTACAGCATAGCCCCTAGAACTCTCCAAGAGGCATTGACAACGAAGCGCCCGCGCAAGTAGGCTTCCTTCTCTTCCTCCTCCTCCTCCTCCCCCTCCTCATCCTCCTCATAATCGTCGCTTTCCCCCTCCTCCTGCCCTAGCGCGTCGCGCGCTCGCCGCCGCTTCGGCGGCAGCTTCCAGTCCGCGCGCTGGTTCGGGTCCTGCTCGTCAACCTGGAACTCGGCGCACTCGAAAAAAACGCAGCTCCGCGCCGCCATGCGCCGCGGGTCAGAGGTTGCTGCAAGCGAGAGGGGGGGGGTGCTCGACGGCCCGTCTCGCCTGGGCGCGCAGTTGAGCCCGAGCAGCTACTGGATGGCGCCTCGACGCCCCCGGCGCCTCCCCGTAGTCTCTGGCGGTCCCCGGCCAACATCGGGCTCTCGAGTGGCCCTGGGCGGCCCCCAGCGGACCCCAAGTGGCCGACGGCGGATCTAACGCCGAGACATCGAGTCACCCACGCAGCGACGCGATCACTCTGCAAGACTCAAATGGAAGAGGCGCGACGACGAGGGATGGAGGCGCAAGGACACGCGCGCTCCCCTCATGCGAACTCGCTGGGTTTATCCATACCCAATAGGATAACGCAGCGTTGCTAATAACGCGGCGCCCGACGCGGACCGAAACCGACCCGACACCAATCGCTGAACGTATAAACTCATCGAATCGCAAGCGTTTGACATCCGCGCGAGCTCACACGGAGAAAGCGCGCTTTGTCTGTCGCAAGTCACCGACGCGCGACTGCCAGCGGCGCCGACGGCCGAGCGGAGCAGCGGCGGCCGACCACTGACCCGGGGGTTGCGCGGGCAGAAGCTGCGCGGCGGCGGGGCGGGCATGGCGGGCGCGCCTGCGGCCCAGGCGTCGCGGGCAGGCGCTCGGGGCAAGCGCCACGGGTCAGGGAACGCTGCGGCGTCGCTCGAGAAAACTCCCACACCCCGCTCGCATTGTTCTCGAGACCCGCAGCCCCCCCAGGCCGCCCTCCTGGATCCTCGTTCGCTCCCTGTGAACTGTCTCCCTGCCCGCCCGCCAGAGCCCGCTCCGCTGCGCGCCTCCACGCACCCCGGCGCGACTTTCGCAGCGTCGCCGGGGCCGGGGCAGCTGCGGCGGCGACAGCGACGGCGACGGCGACGACAACGACGGCGGCGGCAGCGACGGCGACGGCTGCCGGTTCGCTGTTCTCTCGACTCAGCGGCTGCCTCCGCGTCTGCGACGACCAAAACGCGACCTCGACGGGGGCGGCTGAACGGAGCAACCGTCGATCGCGAGCCTCCAGCAGGCGATCTGCCGCCCGCGTGGAGGCGGCCAGAGATAGCGACGAGCATCGCGGCGCGGGCGGCTCGCGGCGCGTCCCAGCAGATCGCCAAGGGAAGCTCTAGCTGCTCCTGTCGGTCGGGGCATCGCATCAAGCGGCTCCCAAGATTTCCTCCGAGACAGCCAGGATTTCCTCCAAGACGGCTGGGACGGCCCCGGGATGCATCCGAGACGGACGATGACGTCACCGAAATGGCCCGAGAAAGCCTAAGAGGCCCTTCGAGAGACCGCCATGGCGGCCGAAGAGGCCCCCAGTATGACCTGAGTGAACGCACGACGGGGCCATACATACATACTGACTGCCTCCAGGGCCCCGTCGGTCCTGCGCCGCGGCGTCGATCGCGGAAGACAAGCGCGAGTCCGGCGCGCGCCGCTGACCTGCTGGGCGTCCCTCAGCAGCAACAGCACCAGCATCAGCATCCGCAAGAGCATCAGCATCTCGCATCAGCATCAGCACCAGCATCCTCACCATCACCATCATCATTACCATCATCCTCAGCAGCATCCGCACAACCATCCTCATCAGTACAATACTCATCATCACCCTCATCCTCATGTTCATCTGCATCAGCATTCGCAGCATCACCAGCTTCATCCTCATTCTCATCCTCAGCAGCATAATCGACCGCAACCAGCAGCATCATCATCGTTATTATCAACATCAGCATCATCATCAGCATCATCAACGGCATCCTCAGCATCATCAGCAGCATCATCATCATCGTCATCATCAGCATCATCAACATCAGCAGCACCAGCATCATGATGATCTCCCCGCCCTCCTCCTCCTCCAAGTCCTCGGCATATTTCTCGTTCTACTTCTCCTCCTCCTCCTTCTCCTCCTCCTCCTCCTCGTCTTCCTCCTCAGCATTATCCTCACTTCTTCTCCACATCCTCATTATCCTACTCGTCCTCTTCCTCCGCTCGTTCATCTTCGTTCTCCTCATCACCCTCCTCTCGTCCTTCAACTCCCTCGTCCATGCAGCTCTCATGTACCTCGGTTCTGGATGGGTAAGTGGGGATGCGCGAGGCGTCAAGAATGAAGAAGAACGCCGAGGTTGCAACAATCCATCCCTCGGTGACGCTCCAAAGAAATGGGGGCACATTATGCCGAGATCTCCCGCGAAGGTCTGCACCGCTTCCCTGGGTCTCTCATCCAGGGCCGCCTGCAGCCCTGGGCCCCAGAAAGGGCCCCCGGAGGCCGACAACCACAGGGAAGACCCCTCGTTGCGGCTTGGGCCAAGATCACCTCTGGCAATCTGCTGGGGACTTGGGAGGACAAGGCGTGTGCCGACACCGCTACAGAACGCCCGTATACTGAGGACGCACGATGAGGATGCAAATGCCTTGGAAGGCCAGGTCAATACTTTGCGAGCGGGGCGTGGCCAGCGAAAGCGGCCAAGGATGGGCCGAAGGGGAAGCATGGAAGGGTGACCTTGGAAAGTTGCTCGTCCTTCCTATGCGGGCTAACTGTGCTCCCAGGACCACACTGAAGGTGCGTTCTGATCAGAACTTCGGGACGAGTATCTCGCCGTGGCGACGAGGCCTGCGCTTGGGATCTGGCCCTCTCGCACCCCCGGCGGCATCGGTACATGGTCCTCTTCTGAAGCCTGGGCCTGGGCCAGGACCACCCCTGACGGCCCCCAGGGGGCATTCCCCGCGCTGCCCCGCGGCGTCCAGCAGCGCGCGCCTGGAAGAGAGGGGCCCGGGGAGACACACGTAAGTGGGCACTTCTTCCAGGCGTTCCCGCATACGCCCCCCTGGCTTGGCCAGGGAGGCATGTGCACCGAGGCTGGGCCCAGGATGTGCCGGATCAGGGTCCAAGGGCTCCCAACTTCGCGCTTCGCGCAGCGCGAAGCGCGAAGTGCGAATGACTTCGCGCTCTCGCGCCGCCTCCCAGAGGGGAAGAGGAGGAGGAGGAGGAGGAGATATCGGAGCCGAACCGCGCAGCGCGAAGCGCGAAGTAACTTCGCGCCCTCGAGGGTCGGTGCCTACGCGCGCGGGTCTAGAAATGCCCCACGGGGGGCGGAGAGGCGGGAGGCCACCAGGGTCTGGGGCCCCCTCTGGGGCCCCGAGAGGCGCCTTGCCGGAGCATGCGCGTCTGCCCCTCGAAGCGCCAGCCGACCGCAGCAGCTCAGTACGACCTCAAGAGGGGGCAGAACCTCCACCCCCATAAGTGGCAAGAGAGACTCCAAATAGACTCCCAAGTTGGTCCCCAGGAGGCCCCCAGGAGGCCCTGAAGAGACTCCCAAGAGGTCCCCAAGAGGCCCCCCAGAGGCCCCAAAGAGGGCTCCGGGGCCGGCGGAATGAGCGAGGCGATTGAATAGAGAAGCACCCCAACCAGCGCAGCCGCCTCGTAGAAGCGCCCCCAGAGAAAGGGAGATCGAGCAGGGCAGGGATGTCTGGTAAACGCCCAGGGCCCTTGTGTAAACGCCCATGACGGGGTCCGGGTGGGTCTTCCTCCCTTGATTCCATCGATCGACATGTCGGCCAGCGCCCACAGTCACAGTCTTTCATGGGCCTGTTTTCCACCACCACCACCACCATAAGTTGGAGGGGAAAGGGGGTCCTCCTCCTCCTCCTCCTCCTCCTCCTCCTCCTCCTCCTCCTCCTCATCATCATCATCATCATCATCATCATCATCATCATCATCATCATCATCATCATCATCATCATCATCATCATCATCATCATCATCATCATCCTCCTCCTCATCCTCATCCTCATCCTCCTCCTCCGTCCTCATCCTCCTCATCATCATCATCATCATCATCATCATCATCATCATCATCATCATCATCATCATCATCATCATCATCATCATCATCATCATCATCCTGTTCTTCGTCCTCCCCCCCCTCCAATTTATAATGGTGGTGGAAATCACGCCCATCAGTCTTGCCTGGAGGAGCACACACTTATCGACACGCCGCCACTTCCCAGTGGGTGCGCTTCGACCAAGAGAAAGTGCTAGAAGAATCCGGCCCCGTGGCGCCGAGGGCCAGCCAGGGCGAGCAGCGGCATCGGCATCCCCAGGTCCGCCGGTGTTGGTGGGCCTGTTTTCCACCACCACCACCACAAGTTGGAGGGGGGAGGTGGAGGTGGAGGACGAGGAGGAGGAGGAGGAGGACGAAGAGGAGGAGGAGGAGGAGGAGGAGGAGGAGGAGGAGGAGGAGGAGGAGGACCCCCGTTCCCCTGCAACTCATGGTGGTGGTGGTGGAAAACAAGCCCATGAAAGACTTGGTCAATCCGAGGGCCCAAAGCTCTCGACCCCTTCCACGGAGGTAGCTTTAGTCCCTGATCCATGTCCCAGGGCCGAAAAGCAGCCTCCAGAGGCCATAGTTCAGAGGCCGACAGAGTCAACTCGTCCGAGATCGGGGTCTCTATTACCCCCCCAGGCTATTCGCCCGAAGCGCCGCTCGTCCACCACCGCGCGCGCGAGCGCGAGAGCCTCTTGGTATGCCCAGAATGGGTACGTAAAAAATGGGCACGCTGTCCACAGCACGTGTTGTCCAAATCTGTTAGGCAAGCGCCTTGCTGCCCCGAACAGACATCATCCGTGGCGACACCAAGAGCGTCGGGCCCCATGAGATCCGACGTCGCGAAGCAATTAGAACCTCGCGAAAAATCACGACCAGAGCGACTCCTGGCCAAAATGGACAAGAACCCCTGAGATCCCGCGAACAAACACACGATCGCGACACCTCACGACCAGAGCCCCAGACCCCATCTTCAGCTTTCGCTTCTGCATTTTCGAGCCGGACCGACCTGAGAGGGCCCTGGGGCCCGAAACCTGGCGAAAACGCACAAGATAGAAACAGTGCAACGCCAAGATCTCTCAGAGTCCTGCTCAAGTTCGCATTATTTCCGTACCCATTCTGATCGTACCGAGCCTCGCCTTCCTCCTTCCACCCTAGAGGAACGAAAAACAACATAGACAGAAGTTGTCCGAGCTCAGCGCGGACTCCTTGGATCGGCGCTTGACCCCCACCCCAGGCGCCGCAGCGCGCCAAGGGCGGCGCCAGAGGCGCCGCCAGGGGTGAAGCGAGATCCAAGAAACCCGTGCGCAGCTCCGAGAGGAGGAAGTATACGCAGTACATTGCTGTTCTGCTCCCTGCTCTTCCCCTTCTCACCGTCCTCCTCCTCCTCCTCCTCCTCCTCCTTCCCCTCCTCCTCCTCCTCGTGCTCATCATCATCATCATCATCATCATCATCATCATCATCATCATCATCATCATCATCATCATCAGCAGCAGCAGCAGCAGCAGCAGCAGCAGCACCAGCAGCATCACCAGCAGCATCATCATCACCATCACCATTGCCATCACCACGACCATTATCATCAGCATCATTGACAGAATCATCACCACCACCATGACCCAACCATCACCGTCAACATAACCATCATCATCATCAGCATCATCATCATCATCATTATCATCATCACCAACACCACCATTACCGCCACCATCGTCGTCATCAGCATCAACAGCTTAATCCTCATTATCATCCTCGTGATCCTCATTCTCATCCGCATTATCACCACCGTCAGAATCATCACCATCCCGAACACCCCACCATCACCATCACCAGCTTCAAATCAAATATCGTCATCATCATCATTAAGATCTGTATCATCGCCAGCATCATCAGCACAATTACAACCATGATCATCATCATCACAATCATCATCATCCTCATCACCACCACCAGCATCATCAGCATCATCACAAACATCATCACCACCACAAAACCACAACGACAACCACCACCACCATCACCACCATCATCATCAGCATCGTCAACGCAGCCTCAACATCCTTATCAGCACCTGCATCATCATCCCCATCATCATCTTCAGCATCGTCTTCATCACAATCACCATTACCATCATGATGATCATCAGCATTACCATCATCAGCATCACCAACACCATCATCATCATAAACATCATAACCATCACCATCATCATCATCATCACCACCACAAGACCACAACGAACAACCACCGCCAACACCACAACCATCATCATCATGAGTAGCATCAGCATCCCGTTCATCACCATCCCCATCATCTACCCACCACCACCATCATCGTCGGTATCGTCAGCATCGTCAGCATCAGCATCATCATAACCACCATAATCATCAACATCATCAACATCAACATCATCGTGATGATCAACATCATCATCAGCTGCATCATAGTCACCATCAGCATCACCAGCACCGTCACCATCATCGTCATCACCGTCAGCATCATCACCGAAACCACATGCATCATCAACATCACCATCACCACCATCATCACCCAAAGACACCGACAACCACAACCACCAACGCCAGCAGATTCATGTCCAGCATCAGCTTCATCAGCATCATGATCAGTACGATCTTCGTCATCAACGTCATCACCAGCATCATCATCATCGCCAGTATCATCATCGTCATCCTCATCATCATCCACCTCATCAGCATCGTCATCATCAGTATCGGCGTGGTCACCATCACCATCACCATGATCAGCATCCGCATCCTCATCATCATCCTCATCCTTGGCGTCCTCCTCCTCCTCCTCATCAATAGCACTACTACCACCAGCAGCGTCAGCATTGGCATCACTAGTTTCATCATTACCATCATCAACATCATGAGCATCGTCACCCTCGTCATCATCACAATAACCACAAGCATCAGCACCATCACCATCATCATCCTGAGCAGTAACATCATGAGCATCATCCTCACCAGCATCAACATCCTGATCATCATCAGCATCACCATCATCATACTCAGCATCTGCAGCATCATCATAATCATCATCAGCAGCATCATCATCAACAGGATCATTCTCATCCACCTCCTCATCATCATCACCCAAAACCGCCTCCTCCCCCGTCCTCCTCCTCCCCCGTCCCGCTCGTCCTCCTCCTCCTCCTCCTCCTCCACCTCCTCCTCCTCCTACTCCTCCTGCTCCATCCACCCCCTCCTCCCCCTCCTCCTCCTCCTCCTCCTGGTCCTCCTCTTCCTCTACCGTTCCTCCTCCTCCTCCTCCTCATCATCATCATCATCCTCCTCCTCCGCCTCCTCCTCCTCCCTCTCCTCCCTCTCCTCCCTCTCCTCCCTCTCCTCCCTCTCCTCCCTCTCCTCCCTCTCCTCCCTCTCTTCTCAAGCTCAGGGGCGCGGAGCGCAGTAGAACCATTTTTTGGCTCATCTCGGCATGCTCCCTGTCCTGCACTGAACCTCCCCGTGGTGCTTGAGGGGCACCGCTTGACTGCGACACAACAGTTGTTGCATTCGTGCGGTTGGCTAGTACAGTGCAAAGTTTTCGGTCGACGAGTTTTGCAAGATTGGTGTTTTGGGTTCCTCCTGAACATCAATTTCAACGTCCGTCCCAGGCCGAGGGTTGGGTTGGAGGCACGCGGGCTTCGAGCCCATCTAAGCCCTTCACCCCTCGGCCTGGGCGTACCTCTTCGGCTACGTGAAGTCCCGTCTCAGGCAGTGGGTTCATCGGCTACGCATGCAGTTTTATTGGGGCATTGGGCAAAGGCATAACAATATGGAGGGTATCATGACGCCGTTTCGCGGCGTGGTGCCTTCTCCAGAAGGGCTGTTTTTGGCAAGGTCTTCGAGTTGGCAATATGCAGTTTTCCTTAATGAACCTTACAGGGCCATGGTTAAGGCAGAACGAGCTGGAGGGTACTTCCATTTGGGCTGCTCTGGGTATGGTCAGTGTTCACGGGAGTTTTCTGCAAGTTCCGGCCCAGGGCGGGGGTTGGGTTGGAGGCACGCGGGCTTCGAGCCCATCTAAGCCCTCCACCCCTCGGCCTGGGCATACATATGCCGCTCATCTTCCTGAAGTTCCGTCCCATGCCGTGGGTTGGGTTGGAGGCACGGGGGCTGCGAGCCCACTTAAGCCCTTCACCCCGCGGCCTGGGCGTACCATCTCTTCTTACAGTTTTGTATGCTTCTGTATCCTGCTCTGGGTTGTATTGCAAGCGTGCTGATTTTTGCAAGTGTTGCAGTCTGGGGCTTCTGCTGTCGGTGGCACTTCCGTTGTTCGGCTGGGGCGAGGTGGTCTGTGGGTGAGGCGAGCTCCTTCCTTCATTGCGAGAGTTAGCCCAGTGATCCACGGCTAGGGCCTTATAGAGTCAAACTCACTTCCGCTTAGCCACTGGTTATGTCAATGTGGTGTCAACTCGGCGGCACAGCTTCAGTTCTTATATGGATTTGGGCTGGCATGGCAGTTTTCTCGTGGTATTGCTGTTATCAGGTCGTGTATGGGTCAGCTTCTGCGTCTGGGCAATATTCATATTTCTGCTGGTACCTGTCTTTCGTCCTCTGGTTCGGCGTCTTCGCTTTCGAGCTCAGAGGGCGGCTTGTGTAATATCACTACGTGATGGCGGAAATCCTGGAAATCCCTCTCCTCCCTCTCCTCCCTCTCCTCTCTCTCCTCCCTCTCCTCCCCCTCCTCCCTCTCCTCCCTCTCCTCCCTCTCCTCCCTCTCCTCCCTCTCCTCCCTCTCCTCCCTCTCCTCCCTCTCTCCTCCCTCTCTCCTCTCTCCCCTCCCCCTCCCCCTCCCCCTCCCCCTCCCCCTCCTCCCCCTCCCCTCCCCCTCCCTCCTCCTCCTCCTCCTCCTCTCCTTCCTCCTCCTCCTCCTCCTCCTCCTCTCGGCCGAAGGCTGGTCCTCCGCCCTGCGCGCCTGGGCCCGCCGCCCCGCCCCCCCCCCCCCCCCCCCAGGGCGCCATCGATGCTGCCGTGGCCGTAGGTGAGGCTGCCCTCGCGAAGCAGCCGCCGAAGGGAGGAGGAGGAGGAGGAGGAGGAGGAGGAGGAGGAGGAGGAGGAGATAACAGAGATAACAGCCATGGGAGCACAACCATGGTTGCCCAGCCGCGCCCCGAGAAATAGAACCATACCCCCCGCCCATCCCCGTCCGTCCGTCCGCGCAGCGGCCCAACCGAAGCCTCGGCACTCCACCACCACGTCGTCGACGTATGCGGCAGGCGGGGAGGCGACGACAGACGAAGGGGGGGTGCTTGCCTTCTCTAGTATTCGGGAGGGCCTTCTTGGAGCTCTGGGACAGAACTTATGAGGTCGGGGGCTGACAAGTACCTCTAAGTTTAGGGCTCATCCTGTGGGCGCCGTAAGACCCGCACACAAAACGCAAGATACATACCCAACCTTCTCCATCACGTGTCCCAGCGCGGAGAAACAGCGAAACTCCCCCTCCCCCTCCCCAGGCGCCGACTCCGAGAGGGCCCCAGGACCAGGATCCCTCGACCCAGGGCCCGCCCCGAGGGCCACGGCCCCAAGAACCAACGAGCCACGCGCAAACCCCATGGCAGCTTGGATCGCCTCGGGTCTCGCCTCGGAGGCCGCGGCGGCGTAAATTCCCCCTGGACTAAGCGCCGCTCGGGCACGCTCTCGCTGAAGGGGAGAGGGCTCACACTTCCCGCCGCTACCTCGAGCCATCAACTTCACGGTGGCAGATGTCTCAACTTTACCAAGGCAGCGCCTGCAGATGATGGCATCACCGGGCACATGCCAATCATGCTCCATCTGAAAAAGGTGCTGTTCAGACTCTGGGGCGCCCCCAGACTCTGGGGGGGGGGGTGCTCCGACTGTGTCCCGTCGTCATCATCACTAATCCTCGCTCCTACCCCCTGCCTCCTCCTGGTCCTCCTGGTCCTCCTGGTCCTCCTCCTCCTCCTCCTCCTCCTCCTCCTCCTCCTCCCGAGGAAGAGCGAGGCCCACCGTGGCCCTCGGAGGCTCACGACAGATCTCCGACTGCCCACACACACGCCCTCCTTATGCGCTGCAATCCAGGCACATGCCCAACCAGGAGACTGAGCACTCTGACGCGAGGTCTCCAACCTGCCAGCCTCACCTTGGACCAGCAGGCCAGAAACCCGATGAGGTCCAGCACCCTCCTTGGTGAAACTCGGGAGCGGCCAAGAGGGGGGTGTCCAAGATGGGGGGGGCAAATCATGACCGGCGGCACGTGCGCGGCCCAGCGGGGGGGCCAGGGACGTAATGAAATAAGAAGAGGCGCCATGAAATCTGGGGAAATGCCCGCCATGATATCCCCCCCCCCCCTGGTCACCACCCCCCTCTTTGCCGCCCCCGAGAAACACATCGCCCGCACATCTCCGCACCAGAGCGACGCAGGCCGGGCCCCTCTTGCGAGAACTTCGTGGAGAGAGGGGCGCGCCGGCACCCGCTCGAACAGCGGAGGGGCCAAGTCAGACCTGGCATCGGCAGCATTTTAGATCCGACGCCATATATTAGCATGTACCTCCCGTTAGAGGAAAAATAACTATGCACATACACCGATCCTGGCCAGGCCCATCCTGAGCCCAGGATCGGTGCATACGCCCTCCTACCTTGGCCAGGAAGGCATATGCACCGATCCTGGTGGGAGATGGCCTTGCCCGGATCGGGCATGTGCCGTTCTCTTCCGCCCGACCCGTGGGGCCACGCGCGAACGCGAGGCCATTCATCCCCCTCGCGCCGCATCCCCTCGCGCAACCGCCCCTAGCCACCACCCCCGCCATTGCCGCCCTCAGATTCCGGGTGAGCGAGGCCGCTCCAAGTCCTCCCGGCCGCTCCTGGAGGCCCGGGCGCCCGTGGCGGCGGGGGACGGGGGGGGAGGCAGCTATGCAGGGACCCCTCCGGGGAACGGCTCCTGTAGGCCAGGGAGCATGTCGACGCGGGCATACATGGTCGGAGGGATTATTGCCCCCCCCCCCCCCCAATGCTAATGCCATCGGCCCCCCACCCCCCCTTCTCGTCCTGCTTCTCGTCCTGCTTCTCCTCCTTCTCCTCCTCCTCCTCCTCCTCCTCCTCCTCCTCGTCCTCCTCCCCCCCCCATCCCATCTAGGGGGGGGCCGAGGACCCTGGGACCCATCCCATGGGGGGGGGGCCGTGGACCCTGAGCCCGCGATCATACATACAGACATGCAGATGTACGTAGGTGTGCCATCGCATGCAGTGCAACATGAGAGTTGCAACACATTGGTAGCACCACACAGTGATTGCACAAAACATGCTGCACATCGACAATGTAATAACCAATTGTTTGAAGTCCACGTTGGCAAACATCTCGGTTCAGTCTGAAGATGTACTGTTTCTTCTGACTGGCGCTGCCAGCTTTCGCCGCAAACAGCGCTTCATCATGCCTTAGCCTAGATTGGCTCAGGTTGTGCACCCAGCCTAATACTGTCTCCTCTGAAAGCATGCCCGCTTCAAGTTTGATCTGACACAGGAGCGCTGTCACTCCTAAGGTGCAGCCTTCTGCCTGTCCTCCGCTCCGCCCGCCTGGGCGATCGGGAACACGCGGCACTCGTGGTTGGGGAAGGTGGCGTAGGCGGTGAGGCGGTGCCTCGATCGGCAGGCACCGCTCATCGTTTTCGCGATCTTGTCGTCGACGTGATCACCATCATCATCATCATCATCATCATCAGCAGCAGCAGCATCATCACCATCATCATCCTCATCCTCATCCTCATGCTCATCATCATCATCATCATCATCAGCAGCAGCAGCAGAAGCAGCAGCAACAGCAGCAGCAGCATCATCATCATCATCATCATCATCATCATCACAATCATCATCATCATCATCACCACCACCACCACCACCACCACCACCATCATCATCATCATCATCATCATCATCATCATCATCATCATCATCATCATCATCATCATCATCATCATCATCATCATCATCACCATGTTTGAAGGTACTGGCTCTTCAAAGTGCTTGTGAAGCCTTGTTGGCCTGGCTGCCTCAAAAAAACCGGTTGGGAATTCTCTCTCTCTCTTTCTCTCTCTCTCTCGCTTGTCTCTTCCTTCTGCCTCTCCTCCTCCTCCTCCTTCTCACCCGCGTTCATCCTCCTCCCCTTCCTCCTCCTCCTCCTCCTCCTCCTCCTCCTCATCCTCCTCCTCATCCTCCTCTCCCTCTGCCTCCTCCTCCTCCTCCTCCTCTTCTTCCTCCCCCTCCTCCTATGTATCCTCCTCCTCCCCGTTCCCCTCCTCGTCCTTCGCCTTATCCTCCTCGTCCTCCTCCTCTTCCTCCTCCTCCTCCGTCTCCTCCACCTCGTTAACCTCCTGTGCTCGGGGCATCTCGGTGGACGAAGCTCGCAGTTTCGAATCTGGGGGTATCGCCTTGGATCGCTCGTGTGGTCGTCTTGGGGCCTTATTGGGCCGTCTTGGTTCTTATGGTTCGTGCGGAAGCCTCTTTGGATGTCTCGTAGCGGAATTGGGGGCCTCTTGGGCGATCTTGGAGCGTCGGACAGGCGAAGAAGCGACATAGCCGCAATATTTCAAAACAGCAATGGAATTAACAATCCTGATCTCTCGGGGCCGTTTTGTAAGGCGTTTGAAAAATCTCTTGGCGCGGGTCAGCGGCATCTTGCGCCGTTTGACACCTACTGGGAGCGTTGTGGCGGCCTCTCTGGGCGGGAAGCTCGGGTCTCGCCTGGGACTTCTCTTGGGACCATATTCTAAGCCGTCGTGGCGGCGCCTTGGGCCGTCTCGGGACCCTCATGGTTCGTCACTGGGCGGCCATTTGGGCGATGTTAGCGGGGCCTCTTGGGTCATCAAGGCGGAAATCCTTCCATGGGAAAGCAACGACTTTGGTTGATCCTCTCCCCCTCCTCGTCCTCCTCCTCATCCACCTCCTCCTCCTGTTCCGTCTCCTCCTCCTCCTCCTCCTTTCTTTCCCCTCCTCCTCCTATCGTACTCCTCGCCCACCTCTTCCACCGCCTGCCCCCCCCCTCGTCCTATTGCATGTCATCCTCCTCCTCCTCCTCCTCCTGTCCCCTCCTCCTCTGCCCCGTCCTCATCCTCCTACTCCTCCACCTTTTCCCCCGCCTGCTCCCCTCCTCCACCATGCCCTCCTCCTCCTTTTCTCGCGTGGTCCCGGGCATGGAGGAGGAGGGGGGCAGGCGGGGAAAGTCGAGGAGAAGAAGGGGCAAGAAAAGCAGGAGGAGGAGGAGGAGGAAGCAGAAGAGGAGGAGGAAGAGGAGGAGGAGGAGGAGCAGAAGAATCCTCGAGACGCCCAGAATCATTCGAAAACGCCAAAGATGACCCCACGACGCCTCATGCGCGTTGATGTCGTCCCGAGGTTGGCCTCTTCGGTGCCTCTTTGAAGCGTCTGGAGCTGCGGGGATTGCGGAAGGCCGAAAGCCTCTCGGAAGGCCGAAAGCCTCTTGGCGGCTCCTTCGGCCTCTTGTGGGCCGCTCGGGGGTCTCTCGGAGCAGAAGGCTCGCATTTTCGAAGGTAAAGCTCCGTTTTAAATCCTTCTTGAAGCCCCCTTAGGCCGTGTTGGGCGAGCCTTCGGCCGTCTTGCCAGGCTTGGGGGGGTACTGAAGACCTCTTGGGTTGTCTTGAAACGTCGCATTGCCAAAGAGGCGACAAGGCCGAAATCCATCAAAAAACCCAAAAAGGATTCAACGATGTTGATCTGTAGGGGCCGTCTTGTGAGGTCTCCTGGAAACCGCTTGAGGCGGTTTGACGACTTCTTTTGCTGATGGACGTCTCTTGGAGGCCTCGTGTGCGCTTTGGGGGCAGCAGGCTCGGCTGTCTGGAGCTCTACCGACCTGTCTTGGACTGCACTTGGGATCACGCTCTTGGGTTGTCTTGTGCCGTCTGGTGACAATTACGTGGGCCGTCTGATGTCGGTGTTGGGCCGTCTGGTGACAGTGTTGGGTGCCTCTTGGGCCGTCTTGGAACGTGGGACAGCGGAGCAGGCGACAAGGCTGGCATCCTTGAAAACAATATGAAAAAAACAACGATGTGGGCCTCTCAGGGCCTCCTTGTGAGGCTTGTTGGAAGCCTCTTGGGGCGGTTTGGCAGCCTCATGGGCCGTATGACGCCTCTGCGGGAACCTCCAAGGGGTCTCTGGGGCGGGAGACTGGCATCATTGGGATCATTTTGTGGCGCTCTCGGGCCGTCTTGGGCTCATCTTTGGCCGTCTTGGCAACATCCTGGGCCGTTTCGGGACTCTCTAGGGAGCCTCTTGGCCTGCCGTGGGATGGCCTATGAGGCCTCGGAGGCCATCTTAAAGCGTCTGACAAGCGGAATGGCGAAAAGGCTAACATCCTTTTCAAAACCATGGAAAAACAACCCCTGGGTGTTTGCAATGCGCTTTGACCCTTGCTCAGCTGCTCTCGGAAGCTGTTTCGGAGCGTCTTGTGGGCGTCCAGTGGGCCTCTGGGAACGCCCAGCGTGGTTTTCCGTCTGTAACCTTCCTCTGAGGCTCCTCCTGTAGCCGTCTTGGGGTTCTGCTGGGCTGACCCGGGGCAATCAGTTGTTTCCTCAACACAAGCAAAAGGGTCTCTGGGTCTCTGTTCAACATAAGAAACTAAAATGATGCAACCACGATCTTCACGCGAAAGTTGCAACTGCGACTGCGGTAGCAAGCGAACCTGAGCTGCGCACGTGGGCACGCAGGTTTTGCAAGCTCACGTGCACCACGCAGCTCGCGGGGAGCTCGCTCACGCCAGAATGATCATCATCACCCAACAGACCTCCGACAGAAAACCCCGTTCGCCCCAGGTGTTTGACGAACAAGTTCAGATACTGGGCGCCGGCTTCGGTGTGTCCATTGACGACCTTCAGCCCGACCTTGCCCACTGCGAACCACTTACCGCTGCCGCTGGGGCCCTGCTGCGCTCGGAAGCGGTATCCCCCCACCTGCTGCGCGTAAGCCCAAGATCCCGTGATATTCACTTCCGTGAAGTAGATATCTTTGCAGTGTCCGCCCAATCTGCTTGCCAAGGCCGCCACCCGAAGCAGTGCGCTTTCGGCGTCCAGCTCGCGAGGGACGTTTAGCAGCACATGCGTGCCTGGCATCATCAAATCGAACCGCTGGCCATGGATATTTTGCAGGTGAGGATCCCCAACGGCAGCAGCATCACCAGCCCCAGGAGCGCCGGCGTTGGTATTGGCCGGAGTCGGTCTGACATAGACGCGGTACCTGACCGGCGAATTTGCGTCACACCCACCAAATTTACCGTAAAATGAATCAAGGTTCCCGACCTTGAGCATTGTCTTCAGGTCTGGGAATTTGATCTTGACAACGGAGCCATCTGACTCAAGCTCTTCGATCTGGACTCCCTGTGTATCATATTCGTTCCCGTTCCCTGGGTGAGCCCAACAATTATTGCACGTGCCCGGAGGCAGATAGCTGGTTGGCTGCCTGAGCCATGTGTGGACACCAGCATGGTTGTTGTAAGTATACCAGTAATCCCAGTCCGCTTGCACACCCATGGAGGCCCCTTGCTCTTGGACCCAGTGTCCAGTATTTCTACTCCATGAGTCGCACCAATTGTCAGACAACCTGTGCACCAATACTTCGTCGAAGGGCGTCGTTATGCTATATGTTGGTAGGTAATACCCTCCAGGTTGAATCGTTGCCAAGTCGTCCACGTCACTGATGGATCTGCCTGGTTCGTTAACAAAGACCCATGAGCCGCCATACAAGTCTAAGGTTGCTGCTGTCAGCGTCTGTCTGACATATACGCGGTACCTGACCGGCGAATTTGCGTCACACCCACCAGCTTTACCGTAAAATGAATCAAGGTTCCCGACCTTGAGCATTGTCTTCAAGTCTGGGAATTTGATCTTGACAACGGAGCCATCTGACTCAAGTCCTTCAATCTGGACTCCCTGTGTATCATATTCGTTCCCGTTCCCTGGGTGAGCCCAACAACTATTGCACGTGCCCGGAGGCAGATAGCTGGTTGGCTGCCTGAGCCACGTGTGGGCACCAGCGTGGTTGTTGTAAGTATCCGCCACCGCGCCCTGCGGCACGGAGTAAGCGTGTTCTCAGGTCCTCATCCCCAGAGCCTCATTCCTTGAGCCTCAGTCCTCAGTTCTGAAGATTTAAGGGGGCCCGAGCCCAAATTCCGAAATCTCCCAGGCCCCGGCGCGTCTTTCCGCGGCTTCTCGCTTGACTTTGGGGGGGCCCTTTTTTGACACCCACCACAAGGATCGTGGCTCCCGAGCGCGAAAATTCGAGCCACCTGCCGCATGAGGCCCCAAAGAGGTTCCAAGGGGCCCCAAAGAGGCCCCAAGAGGCCCCCAAGAGGCACCCAAAAGGCCACCAAGAGGCCCCCAAGAGGCCTCAAGAGGCCTCAAAACTGCTTCCCAGAGGCCCCAAAGAGGCCAACCACAAGACCCCAACCAACATCCGTGAGGCCTCTGACCCATCACCCAGGCACGGTGGCGGGATGGGCCGAAGGCCACTGGATTCGCCGCCCCCTGTCGATTCATCGCAGACCTTCTCAGTTTTGGTTTTGGTTCTTTTCCAAAAGAACTCCCCCTGGGGCTTCGGCCCGTCCCGCCGGGGTCAGGGGAAGGATCTCAAAACCTGGTTGCAAAGGTTTTCCCTGCTCCAGACGGCTCCAAGACGGCCCAAGATGGTCTCCAAGATGCATCCAAGACGGCCAAGATGGCCTCCAAGACGGCGAAGATGGCTCCAAGATGCCTCCCAGACGAGTCAAGATTCATCCAAGACGGCCTAAGATAGCCTCAAGATGGCCCCAGACGGCCCAAAAGGCCTCCAAGAACGCCCACGAGGCGTCGAAGAGGTCCTCCAGGAAGGTCCGAAGAGGCCAACATCATTGATTATCCTTAGGCTTTTTTGCCGGATTTTGGGATGTGCGCCTCTTCGGCTTTCCGACGGCCCAAGACGGCCCAAGAGGCCCCCAAGATCGGCGCAACATCGTCCCAGAGGCCTCCAAGATGGCCCCATGACGGCCCAAGAGGCCCCCAAGACGGCCCCAAGACGGCCCAAGAGGCCTCCAAGACGCCCAAAATGGCCCGCCAAAACGGCCCTGGGGCACCCCAGGAGGGCCCCAAGTCGGCCCAAAAAGGCCCACCAAACGGCTTCCGACGGCGTCAGACGGGCCAGGAGCCCTCTAAGATGGCCGAAGTTGGCTCGACGCTGGCCCAAGACGGCCCAAGAGGCCTCCAAGAGGGCCTCCAGGAAGGCCCGACAAGGCCAAAAACACTAAATTCCCTAAGGTTTTCAAAGGATTTTGACATTTGCTTCGTTTCGGCCTTCCGACGGCCCGAGACGGCCCAAGAGCCCCCAAAGATCGCCCAAGAGGCCTCCAAGATGGCCCTAGAACGGCCCAAGAGGCCTCAAAGATGGCCCCAAGAGGCCCCCAAGACGGCCCAGGAGGCTTGTAAGACGCCCAAAATGGCCTCCAAGACGGCCCTGGAGCATTCCAAGAGGGCCCCAAGTCGGCCCAAGGAGGCCCCCCAAACGGCTTCCGACGGCATCAGACGGGCCAGGAGCCCACCAAGACGGCCGAAGATGGCCCTAAGATGGCCCAAGACGGCCCAAGCGGCCTCCAAGAGGGCCTCCAGAAGGCCCGACGAGGCCAAAAACATACATTTTCAGTAGGTGTTCGAAGGATTTTGACATTTGCTTCTTTTCGGCCTTCCGACGGCCCGAGATGGCCCAAGCGCCCCCAAAGATCGCCCAAGAGGTCTCCAGTATGGCCCAAAAACGGCCCAAGAGGCTCCCAAGACGCCCTCAAGAGGCAACCAAGACGGCCCAAGAGGCCTCCAAGACGCTCAAGATGGCCTCCAAGACGGCCCTGGGGCACCCCAAGAAAGGCCCAAGTCGGCCCAGCCTCGCCCACCGTGTTCCCCGAACGTTTTCCAAACCGACTCGGGGAACACATGGTCCGATAGCTTGGCAGGCCTCTGGCCACAACGTTCGGCCACGTAGGCGTTTCCAAAAAGGCAGGGGGCGGCGGTGATTCGCCGTAGGCGTCTTCGATCCGCCGCCCCTGTCGATTCATCGCAGGGGTGCCTGGCGTGCTAGACCCTCTCGGTTTCGGTTTTGGTTTTGGTTCTTTTTCCAAAAGAACTCCCCCTGGGCGTTCGGCGCGTCCCGCCGGGGTCCCGGGAGGCTCTTCTGGAGGTGGTTGCCGTGGGTTGTTCTGCCCCAGACGGCTCCAAGATGACCCAAGATGGCCTCCAAGATGCTTCCAAGACGGCCAAGATGGCCTCCAAGACGGCTAAGACGGCCCCGAGATGCCTCCAAGACGGCCCAAGATGCACCCAAGACGACCTAAGATGGCCTCAAGCTGGCCCACGACGGCCCAAGAGGCCTCCAAGACGGCCCAAGAGACCTCCAAGAGGTCCTCCAGGAAGGCCCGAAGAGGCCAAAATCATTCATAGCCCATCGGTTTTCCAATGATGTTGGCATTTCCGCCTTTCCGGCTTTCCGACGGCCCCAGAGGCCCCCAAGATCGCCCCAAGATCGCCCAACAAGCCTGCAAGATTGCTTCAGGACTGCCCAAGAGGCCTCCAAGACGGCCTCAAGAGGGCACAGACACGACCCAAGAGGCCTCCAATACGCCCAAGATGGCCTCTAAGACGGCCCTGGAGCATTCCAAGAGGGCCCCATGTCGGCCCAGAAAGGCCCCCCCAACGGCTTCCGACGGCGTCAGACGGGCCAGGAGCCCACCAAGATAGCCGAAGTTGGCTCGAAGCTGGCCCAAGACGGCCCAAGAGGCCTCCAAGAGGGCCTCCAGGAAGGCCAGAAAAGGCCAAAAACAACAATTTCCGTTCGGTGTTTCAAAGATTTTGAAATTTGCTTCGTTTCGGCCAGCATCAGACTCTGCCCCGCGCCGTCGCTGGGCGCTGGCAGCGTCCGCCCGCGGCGGGCCAGCGCGCGCGGCTCGGCTGGGAAGCTTCCAGGCGTCGGCGACAGCACCCGCGAGCGCTCCACGAGCCGCTCGGGCCCGGCTGCAGCGGGCACGCTGCCTCCTTCCGAGGGCGGCGCCAGCAGGCGGCGGCCGCGCTCGCCATTCATCGGGGGCGCGCCCTGGGCGCCTTGCGAGCCAAGGTGGGCGCGTCGGAGGACAAGATCACCGGGTTGAGGTCCTGGGGCGTCTCGAAGCCCTGGGGATCCATGAGGCTGGCGGAGTCCGAGGGAGGCCTGGATGTAGTGCCTGTAGGGGGCGCTTGTGCGGTGGGCGTAGTACGGTACGGGGACACGCTCTGCCTGTAGAGTTGCCTGTGTTAACGTCCTCCTGCATTTGCGTCTGCTTGCTTACGCGCTTGCCCAGGTGCTCGTACTTATGGTCAGACTTGCTCTGCTCCTCTAACAGTTGCTTCCGGTAGTTGACTGTGTTACAACCTGCATCATCAGCTCGCTCTTTATGCTCGGGTAGTCTACGGTTCACTGCGCTGCTATGGTCGTCCTGCGAGCGCTCCCAAAAGTTCACGATGTGCCCCCCGCCCCGCGGGGACAGGCTGCACTGGAACTCCGCGGCGCGGAGCAGGGCCCTCGACTCGCGGACCAAAATGTCCTCTGTCGCGCTGTGCCACCCGCGGGCGACAATCTCTGTCCATCGGTAACCTGAGAAGATCACCGCGTCCATCTCTTTGAAAGTTCTGTCGACGCTCCGCTCCATCTGCGGGGCTGCATCGTCGTGCTCATCCAACTCGGAGGCGGACTTCAACAAGCCCTCGCCGGTCATCGCGATGCCATTCGCCTCGAAAAAATGCGCCCTGGCGGAGTGGCCGCCGAGGCGGCGGAACCGAGAGTGCTCCTGCGCGCGCCCGATCTCCTTGACCGCCTCCAGCTCAAAAAACGAGGCGCTCACCGCGCAGCCGTGCTCCGACGCATCGGAGAGGCAGACCAGCGGGCGCCAAGGCAGCGCCCAGTCGCCCCGCAGCAGTGGCATCAGGTCCCTGAGGGCCTCCAGCTCGGCGCGCGCTGTTGTCCAGTGGCGCCCCCTGCAGGTAGTTCGCCCTGGTGAACTTGTAGGTGGCGTTGAAGATCGCCAGGAGGTCCCGGTTGCACATGGCGCAGCAAGTGCAATGACCTAGAATGATCTCCCAGGCCCAACCAGGCAACGCCCTGCAGCCCAGCGCCCAGCTCAAACCCTGGCGCGCCCGCCAGTAGCGCTTGGCGGTGAGCCGGGTGGCCATCAGGCGGCCGTCCAGCACGCAGCCCAGCGTCTCGCCGCGGCCCACTTGGATCTCCGTCTCGCGCGTGCTCAGGCCCGCCTCATCGAAGCGCTTCGCGGCGGCAGCAAGGCTAGAGGCGACGGCGTCGTGCCCGAAGCCCATCGCGCCGAGGTTGTCCACGTGAGTGCACTGGGCGCCGCCACCGCTGGCCAGACGGGCGCGCGGCCGGAGCACCGTCGTCGGCCCGCGGTCGCTCATGCGGTGGGCGTGCTCCAGCTCGGGGGTCGATCCCATCGTGGCCTCTCCGACTTCCAGGCAGAAGAAGAGGGGCCAGGTGAAGCCCATTGGCAGCGCGGCGCAGGCTGGCACCAGCCGCTGGTCGGCCGCGACTCGGCGACCGCTCAGGGTCGCGCCCGTCATCCGACCTCGCTGGCCAGCACGCCGCGCAGACAGAAGAAGGCCGAGAGCGCCCGGTCGATCCTGAAGCGGCGAAGGCGTCGCTGATGTCGGAGGTCCCCAGGGTGAAGCCCAGGTCCTCGAAAGAGCCAGGCGCGGGGGCGGTCTGGCCCACCTCGATGCGCGACAGCCCCTCCGCAATCGCCAGCGAGACCCCAGGTGGAGAGGTAAAATGGAGGTTGCTCCTCCTGGCATCTATGATGAGGCGCAGCTGATTGCTCTTCTTCGCAACGAAGGACACTCCCACTTCCTCCTGGCGCTCGCGCTCGTCCAGGTACACCAACATGCCCTTCGAGTAGAGCAACTTCACGAGCCTCACGTAGAGCCTGCGGTTGCGCGCCAAGGAGGGGCCCCAGTGGGGTGCGATGCCACAACTCTCAAGTCGAGACTGCAAGGCCCCCCCATCCAGGAGCATCCGAGAAATCCGTCTTCGAGGACATGGCGCGCATGGGCAGGTGCGATCTCACTCAGCCGTGGCCCGCCCGCCGCTGTCTTGGGAAATTAGATCTGCCTCGCATCGCGAAGACGTCCGACGCTCCGCCCGGCCTGCTCGTCATAGACGCTGCGGCCGTGCATAGGCCGTCCTCCAGCGGCCAGTAGTTGAACGTGTAGCGCTTGACCTCGCGAGCGACCTCCCTCCACGGCTTGTGGCGTTCTCTATGCTCGTCATGCTGGACCCACAATGCTCGCGCATCTTCACCAGCGTCAGGCTCCTGAGGGCCCTCAGGCGGAGGGACTCCGAGCCTCTCCCTGAGGTCCTTCTCGCCATCCCCCAAGTCGGGAGCCCCGACAGTGGCCCGCGACGCGGCTGCCTCGCCCTCCGGCGCGGCGCCCGCATGGCCCCTGGCGCTCAGGTCGGCCTCCACCAGCCTGATCAGCTCGCGCGGGCGGCCGCCCCTGAAGCTGCCCACCAAGCCGACGCGGACCGCCTCCGCGATCTGCCACGCGCCGGCGTCCCGCAACATCGCATGGTGCTCGTCCAGCCTCACGCTGCTCGCCTCTAGGACCACCTCCTGGCCCAGCGGGAGACGCCCCGGCGAACTGATCACCCAGGCGCAACCCACGGGCGGCTCCAGCGGCGCGGCAGCGGCCGCACCCATGTCGGGGGCATCGGCCAAGGGCGCCGCGTCGCCCGGTGGAGTATCCGTGCCCCCAGGCGCCTCCTCAGCCCCTCGCAGGGGCACACGGCGCCGCAAAACCCCGAAGGGGCGAGGAACCCCCCCCAGGTGTACGCCTCCACGGGGTCGACAAGGGGTGCTCCACCAGCATGTGTCTGCTGGTCTGTCCTGGCGGCCAGCGCCTGGTTGCGCAGGGCCTCCCAAGTCACGGAGTCAGCGAACCTGTAGAACGTGCCATGGGCCAGCGCCGGGCAGTGCCGTCCAGCGTGCAGGCGAAAACCCTGTCGCAGCCATCGCCGACGGAGCCCGTCACGTCCTCCACGTAGCGATCCGCGTAGGGCGCGGGCACCCACCAGTAGGTGCCCCCCGCGGGGTACAGCAGCAGGCGCTCATGCCACACTGTGCCCCGCGGGTACCAGAGCCCCACGCGCAGCCCCGGTCGCAGTTCAGCGCACCACACCGCCACCTCGACGACCCTGCCGTCCGAGGCGAGCGTCGATGAGCCTCGACGGCGGCGGCCCAGCGGAGCGAGCATGGCGGCGGACGCGGGCTGCGGCGAAGCAGCACACCAGGATCAGCAGCTCCACGCTCGCGACCCCCCAGGCCAGGAGGGCAGCAGCAAGCTGACCCTCGTCCACGGGCGGGCAGGCCTCGGGCGCGGTCGCTGCCGGTTGAGGCCCTCCAAGGCCGACAGGCGTCAACCGCTCCAGCAGCGCCGCGGCCACCACTCCGGCGGAGGGACAAGTGGCGGGGGCCGGTGAGGAGTTGGCCAACAGCCAGGGCCCGAGCTCTTGCACCACGGCCGCGGCCACGGCGCCCACGCTCGGCGCGGGCGGCGGGGGCGGCGGCGGCGGCGGTGCAGGGGGCCACACAGGCGCGTGGCACACGCAGGACGGGCAGCTGGTCGAAGCGGCCACCAGCGCCGCCAGCCAACTCGCCGCCCAGCGGAACCCCGCCAAGGCCGCTGGCGCCCCCACCGCGGCGCTCACCGCCAGCGTGGTCGCGCCGCCTGGGGCCATTGACTGACCGAGCTCATGCACTTGACCGGACAAAAAGCAACACGGATCTGAAGTGACAACAACGTGCGAGCACTCCCATTCGGTTTGCTTCTTTTGCTTCTTTTCGGCATTCCCACGGCTCAAGACGGCCCAAGAGCCCCCCAAAATCGCCCACGAGACCTCCAAAATGGCCCCATGACGGCCCAAGAGGCCCCCAAGACGGCCCCAAGAGGGCCCAAAAGACGGCCACAATGGCCTCCAAGACGGCAAGACGGCCCCAAGATGCCTCTAAGACGGCCCAAGATGCACCAAAGACTGCCTAAGATGGCCTCAAGACGGCCTAAGAGACCCCCAAGAGGCCTCCAAGGCGGCGTCCAGGAGGTCATCCCAGAGAGCACGAAGAGGCCAAACTCATTGATTGCCCTTAGGTTGTTGAAGGATTTTGGCAATTGCTTCTTCTCGGCATTCCGACGACTCAAGACCGCCCAAGAGGCCCCCGATATCGCCCACGAGGCCTCCGAGATGGCCCCAAGACGGCCCCAAGAGGGCCCCAAAACGGCCCAAGAGACCTGCAACACGCCCAAGATGGCCCCTAAGAGCCCCTGACATGCCCCAAGAGGGCCCCGAGACGACCCAAACAGGCCCCCAGGACGGTGTCCGACGGCATCAGACAAGCCACGACCGCCCTACGACTGCCAAAGAGGCCCCCAAGAAGCCCCCAAAGGCACCCAACAACCCTCCAACAGGCCCCCAGGAATCTCCCAGGAGGCCCCAAGAGTGCCCCAAGAGGCGCCCAAGAGGCCTTTTCCTCCTCCCCCTCCTCCTCCTCCTCCTCCTCCTCCTCCTCCTCCTCCTCTTTTTTCCTCATCCTCCCCCTCCTCCTCTTCTTGCGCCCCCATGCGGTCCCCGATTTTTTTCAAACCGACTCGGGGAACAACTAGCCCGATAGCCTGGCCAAGTTCTGGCCCAGCTGTCGGCCACAAAGGGGCTTCCAAACGAACAAGGGGCGGCGGTGTTTCGCCGCAGGCGTCTTCGATACCAGTAATTCAGGTCTGCTTGCACACCCATGGAGGCCCCTTGCTCTTGGACCCAGTGTCCAGTATTTCTACCCCACGAGTCGCACCAATTGTCGGACAACCTGTGCACCAATACTTCGTCGAAGGGCGTCGTTATGCTATATGTTGGTAAGTAATACCCTCCAGGTTGAATCGTTGCCAAATCGTCCACGTCACTTATAGATCTGCCTGGTTCGTTAACAAAGACCCATGAGCCACCGTAGCTGTCCAAGGTGGCTGCTACTGGCGTCGCGGCCAGTGTCGACGCCGCGGTCGGGGTTGCCGTCTTCTCGCCGACACTGGCTTTGAGGTTCACCTGGAGCTTCGGGACCCGCCCCTGGATAACATCGGCGCCGTCTAGTGCGTCCACGGCTCTGTTCCCCTCGGACTCAGTGTCTCGGAGAAGGGAGGCGCGGGTCGAGGGCATGAGCGCCACCACCAGGCAAGTGGCCCATGCTGCCCTGCAGGTTGCCGCCATCCCAACAACTTGCGCTGGCCAGCAGAAGCAATCAGAGGGGCGGGAAGAAACGGGAAAACCCTGCTTGCAATATTTAGTAGGATGGCGTGCGCGTGTGCCAAATTAAACTTGTGGTCGAGCCACAATGGCTACGGAGGCTGACCTGGGGCAATCATGGGGGTCTCTTGGGCCGTTTTGGCGCGATCTTGGGGCATCTGGACACGCTTGAAGCGTCGCAAGCTCGAAAAGGTGAAGAACAAAACAACATTGAAAAACAATGGAACATCAAGTTCTTTCTGCCTGCTGGGGCCATCTGGCGCACGGTGTTGGAACTCTTTAGGAGCGGCTCCACGGCGTCTGGAGCTGTCGCTGCGGCCTCCTGGGGCCTCCCTGCAGCCTTCTGGGGC